GTTTTCTCCTGTTGCATAGTTCTCTGTTATAGTAGCAAGACAGATTCCTTCTGTGGTCAACTTTTGCAAAGATTTAATCTCTGAAGTAGTATTTCTCTCTCTTTGTATGCCTCGTTTTATTCTGCTGCCACTTGCAAAAATCAACTTTGTGTTTAGACAGGTTTTTATGGGACTGAAATAGGATTAAATGTAATAAAAACAGCATTGTGTTTAGGAAGAGATCTTCCTAGTAAATATGTCTTAATTTTTTTTTAATACTGAAAACAAATTGGAAGTGTAATTCATATCTCTTGAGCCCATGTCTGTACATGCCACTCATGTTAAAGTTGATCTGTTGTGATACTGATTCAGGGCTCAGTGCTGGTGGAATCAAGGTCGGTAGCTGGGACATCCTGATTAGAATCCTCATTGTGCCCATAGATAAGTGTTTAAGTTTATAAGGAGGATACTGGTTGGTACCAGGTGAATAAATAAGTTGACTGCCAAGAGGCATTTTATAAATTTTAATGAGTTCACCATATGTTCAAGGTTGAGACCTGAGCTTTGGATGCATATAACTGAATTCATAATCACCAAAAGAATGATTTCAGTATCTAAGGAACAGACTCAAATTAATCAAGTTCATAAAAGATTATTAGATTAGAAAGCCAGTTTATTATTAATTTTAGAGAGAAATATGCTTCAATAAATTATGGTAGCCTATCAGCATATTCTTTATTTGGAAAGGGGGCTAAGTGGAAAATCTAGAATAATTTCTAGATAGGAATGAAATTAGGGCTAGGGGAATTTTATTTGAATGCTTATATCACATCTTATTTTGAAAAAGATGTAAGGGCACTGACAAGGAAAGTATTCATATGTTGTAGGGCATCAGTCATGTACCCATTTTGGATTGGAGTTAGACTAAGGTGCTCAAGTGTCTGGACATCCTCTCGGAGATGGAGGCTGCCAGCAGTTGCCTTAGTTTGGAACCTGGTCTGTAGCGGGTACATACCCTGTGCTTTGGAGTCTTGATATGTCGCTGCAGTTTTTCTCTTTGGGTTAGCAGATCCCAACAAGTGAAGGATAAAGGTCACATGCGTTAACATACAGTTAGAGCTGTAGGTAAGAGAGGATTTGCTTATGAGCAGTTTCGGAGTTTATAAAATTATGCCACTTTCTTGTCTCCTTTGTGAGGCAGGTTATGCAAGCGGCATCTTTATTGTGAAAGGAAGTTTAGTCTATTCAAATAAGAACTTAAAATGTTATCAAACTATGACTTTCTTTAAAAAGTAAAAATCATAGAATGTAATTGGGTAAATTCTCCGAAGGCCTTTCCAGTCACCACTTTCCCATTTCCCCCAAGAATAGCCACTGTCCTGACTTAATAACACCAGATTAATTTTGCCTGCTTGTATAATTTATGTGAAATTTGGATTTCATATAAATGGAATAATACGTGAAATTCTTTTCCTCACCGTTTGTGAAATTTATTCATGTGTTGAATGTAGCTGTTCTTTTTCTGACCATTTCTATATAATTATGTAAACCTATCCCTGTGTGTCCAAAGTTGTTTTGAGTTTGGGCGATTATAAGTAGTGCTGTGATAACTTGTGTGTGATACAGTTACTTGTTACCTCTGGTAGTTTATTTGTTACTAATAATAAGTTAGTCTGTATTGGCCACACAACTTGTTTTTGTAAATATTTTATTGATTGTGTTGATGAGTTTTTATTTTCTTTTTAAATTCTTGTGGGGTTTCACTATAGGGAGCTACATAATTTGGGGCAAGAGACTCAACATAAAGGTCCTAGATGCCTCTTTGGTAAATTTAAAGGAGGTTGAGGCTTGATAATCTTTCAGTCATTGCCCAGATTTCCAGTCTTGTATTTTTCTTTAACTATGATCAGTTCAGAATCCCAGTTGAAAAATACCTTCAGCAGTTAAACCTTCTGTTTACTGTAGGTTAGATTCAACGTGCTACAGTATGTTGTCCCAGAAGTAAAAGACCTTTACAATTGGCTGGAAGTTGAATTTAACCCACTAAAACTCTCTGAGAGAGTCACAAAGGTAAGCTTTGATTATATTACCATGTAGCCAGCCCTGTTGTAGTTAGGTTATACTTACATTTGTTAAGAGAGAAGTGTTTTCCTATGTGTTTGAATTCAGTGCACATTTCATTGTCTTTTTTCTCTATGTCAAGAGAAAAGATATTTCTGATGTGCTAAATAAACCTTTGGAGGTAAATTAGCAGCATGGCTGATTTAGCCATTGCTGTCAGTCACCTTCAGACAAGAATCAGTAGCTTCATATTATTACATTTTGTGTTTTTTTTCTTTATGTGATGGTTTTCTGTGTTAAGAAAATTGAAAAGTTTCGCAAATGTTTCAGTATCTGTTATATAGAAAATATAATCTCTCTCAATTTAATGGATTTCATAGGTTCTAAATTGGGTTAGAGAACAACCTGAAAAGGAACCAGAATTACAGCAGTACGTCCCACAGCTGCAAAACAACACCATACTCCGGCTTCTGCAGCAGGTAAAGAAAAAAAAATGTTTTATGTGAGAACTGGAATTTCTCCCTTGATTGTTAAAATTACTAAACTAAAAATTTAGGAATGGTTTAGAAAGTGAAGGCCTCTTCAAATTCTATCCACACCCCCAAAAAATTAGTTTTGTTAGTCTGATTTGAAACAATTATTTTACATAATTCATAACTGTTTTTGTCTCCTTTTTTGATGACCACTATCTTTGTATATTTTTCCTTGTTAGCCATGTATGTTTACCTCGTTTCTTTTAATGCTTACATAGTTTTTCATTGTCTAAAGGGACTGTGGTTTATTCAAACTCTGTTGATGGAAATCTTAGTCTTTTTGCTAATAGGAAAAGTTGCAGCAGTGAGCATACTTGTGTGACTTTCTATAGCTAAGAAGTGGAATTAGTCATAGTCTGCACACTTAAAGCTTTACCAGATCCTCAAAGATTCAATTTATAGACTTTCACCAGTAGTGAACAAGATAGCCTTTTTTCCCTAAGTAATGTCAATCTTTTAACATATTTTAGTCCAACCTCGTACTTAAATTTGAGTATTATGGTTTATAATGCAGCTTAAATGGTCCTGTTTTGTCATCTCTTTGTTTTATTTGGCGGAGGGGGTGTGTGTTACATGTTCACTTAAGTATCTGTGCACATTTCATTGACCTGCTTTCTCTTGTGTATGTGAGCAGTGTTATTTCTTATGTGCGATATAAATAGTTGGAGGTTAATTAGCAGTATAACTAAATAGTAATGCTGCCAGTCTCCTTCGGACAATTTTATTAAATGTTCAGATGAATTTGGTAAGTAGCAGGTCTCTGTCTACAAATACATGACCATTTAGGGCTTTTTTGTTTTATGAAACTAGGATTTGAAAGGATTATGTGATGGTTCAAAACATAGGATTTGGGGTTGACAGCCTTGGGTTGTAATTCCAGCTCCAGCAATGTGTTGTTAATATAGATACTCTGAGCTTCAGTTTCTCTTCTTTGAAAAATGGGCATAATTTCTGCTTTCCATGGTTGTCACGAGACTCCACGTAAAAAATGCTGAATACATGATAGCTATTATTACTAACCTTGTGTTTCTTATACAGGTGGCACAAATTTATCAGAGCATTGAGTTTTCTCGTTTGACTTCTCTGGTTCCTTTTGTTGATGCTTTCCAACTGGAACGGGCCATAGTAGATGCTGCCAGGCACTGTGACCTGCAGGTAGGTGCTTCAGGAGGACTCGGAGGTTGGAGGCCTTTGAGGGCTAACAACACACGTTCTTTGTTTCTCATCTTTTGGTACAGTGGCACTATTTTGAGGCTTTACTGAAAGAATCTTCTAGCTTTGATATTTAACATTCTTTAATTTTTTTCTCATTCATTTGAAATTTTAATCATAAGTTATTCCTTTGTCAAATGACTATATTTACTTATGGATTTAACTATTGATAATACCATTTAATTTTCAAAGGTTCGTATTGACCACACCTCTCGGACCCTTAGTTTTGGATCTGATTTGAATTACGCTACTCGAGAAGATGCTCCAATTGGTCCTCATCTGCAAAGCATGCCTTCAGAACAGATAAGAAATCAGCTGACAGCCATGTCCTCAGTACTTGCAAAAGCACTTGAAGTCATTAAGCCAGCTCATATACTGGTATGCATCTTTGGAAGAAACGGACTGCAGAATTTTTGAGGTTCCTTATGTCTTTCACAAAAAGGTTCGAGATGATGTCTGAGAGAAGGGGTTGATTACATATTTCCTTTTCAGTTGTGTTTGATAGTTTGGGTATTTTATCAAATGCCTTCATGAGATACACAGATCATTGCACTGCCTTCCATGGGGTAGAAGATACACAGCACAGGTAGTGTGGGAACAGGAGCACTGTCACAGACAACAGCAGGCCCCACGTACGACGACTCTCCGGATAGCACTGGGGTTGGGCTTTTCCTCTCCGCTTAAGTTGTTTATAGTTTGTGAGCTCTGTTATCTGTTAGTATTCCTCCTTGGCTTGAGTACTTTAAAGTAAATTTGGTTCAAAGAAAAGAGCCTGACAGATAAAAGTGCTTCAGTTATGTCACTGCTCTTAAAGACTCTGAATAGAAGTAGTGCCATAGTATTTGATACTGGGAACCAGTAGCTTGAATAATGTCATTCTGTTACTAAATGCAAATACATGTAACGGTAATACATCAGGATTATATACTAAGAGTTTTGATGTCTGATACCATGGGGTGTCACTTAAAAATTTTTTTGATGCATTTATTTTTGAAGCAAGAGAAAGAAGAACAGCATCAGTTGGCTGTTACCGCGTACCTTAAAAATTCACGGAAAGAGCATCAGCGAATCTTGGCTCGCCGTCAGACAATTGAGGAAAGGAAAGAGCGTCTTGAGAGTCTGAATATTCAACGTGAGAAAGAGGAACTAGAGCAGAGGGAAGCTGAACTTCAGAAAGTACGGAAGGCTGAAGAAGAGAGGCTGCGACAGGAAGCAAAGGAGAGAGAGAAGGAGCGTATCTTACAGGAACATGAACAAATCAAAAAGAAAACTGTTCGTGAGCGTTTGGAGCAGATCAAGAAAACAGAACTGGGTGCCAAAGCATTCAAAGATATTGATATTGAAGTATGTAGTATATTATGCATTAAAAACGTTTAAGTTTTATTCAGGTCTCTTAGAAGCAAAGCCCTTTACCATTTATTGGTTTATTTTTGGTTATTCGGTTACTTCACTCATTTTGATACAGCTAGTTCTTTAATCTGAAGTTAAGCATTTGTTTTCAGTGACTACTAGTTTTTAACCACTGTTGAATTGGATTTTGGATATATGTAGAATGGAGGAGTAAGAAATAGGCATTAAGATTACATAATTTTTCTCCACAATCGAGTGGAAATAAGGCTATTGTGAAACATTTTTATATTGCGTAAGTTTACCCATTGCAAGCATTTGCTCATTGTTAAAAAAGAAGCAATTTAGGATTTGTTTCTAGAAAGAAATGGTGCTTCATATTGACTGTTTGCACTTTAATGTTATTAATTATGGTGCATTTATATTACTTTTCAGGACCTTGAAGAATTGGATCCAGATTTCATCATGGCCAAGCAGGTTGAACAACTGGAAAAAGAAAAGAAGGAACTTCAGGAACGCCTGAAGAATCAAGAAAAAAAGGTAAATGAAAGGGCTGGTAAACTTCACATGCCAAGTTAAAAGGTTTTTTTAACACCATTTGTTTTCATGATACTCAGATTGACTATTTTGAAAGAGCTAAACGTTTAGAAGAAATCCCTTTGATTAAGAGTGCTTATGAAGAACAGAGAATTAAAGACATGGATCTTTGGGAACAGCAAGAAGAAGAAAGAGTAAGTTTTACATTTAATTGTAGTATTTTAGACTGTAAGCTGTAATTAAGTCCTCTGCCAGTAATGGAACCAAGGTTTCAGATTTGATTTTTGTATTTTGTCAGAAATGGTGCTTCAGTGGCTACATACTGACAGATTGGTGGATAGATAGTTTAAGAATAGAGATTAAAAAAATGAAACCTGTAAAATAAAAAGGACAGTTGAAAAGTTCATTTTTTAAAAAACAGTTTTGTGGAGATACAGTTCACATGCCACATAATTCACCAATAAAGTGTGCAGTTGGTGGTTTTAGTATATTTACAGAATTGTGCAATGGTCTAATTTTAGAACATACCTCAAAAGAAACTTTGGACCTACTAGCAGTCATTCTCCATTTTCTCTCCATCCCCTTGGCCACGGCAACCAGTAATCTCCTTTCTGTCTCTAAATATCCTATTTTGAATATTTCTTACAGATGGAATCACACAATCTGTGGTCTTTTGTGACTAAATAGCTCCTTCCTTAGTTTTATTAGTCTATATTATATGTATTCATCTAATGATACAAATGTAAGGTTTGCAAATGCTTACAGATTTGTAGTAAAAACAGGTGACCTCATTCTGGTTAAAAAAATAACCACAGGCAAGAGATAACACATACCTGTGGTGGTTGCAGTGTGGAGAATGCAGCCTCTTCATGGCTCCAATGGATTGTTGTCTTTCTGGGCCTAGTGTTGCCAGTTTTTCCAATTTTTTTTTTTTTTAGAAGTTGGTATTTGTGTGATAATTCTTTTAATACATAAAATTAGAAACCAGTGTTAGAGACCAGCTAAAATACTGGAGATCTGCTGCATTGTGCCCTGAAGCCTTTGTTTCCCTGGGAGCCAAAAGGAAAAGCTTTCTCTCTCTTTCCTTGTTTGGTTTGGTTTAGTTTGGAGGGGAGAGGTAATTAGGATTTATTTTATTTTATTTTTGAACGGAGGTCTGGAGATTGAACCCAGGACCTCGTGCATGCTTAGTATGCACTCTGTTCCCCTCCACTCCCCGAAAAGCTTTCTTACTTACATCAGTAGTTCATCCTGCTTCATTCTGCCTTAACCTCCAGTTAAAAACACCTCCAGTTTTCAAGGAAGAAAATGCCTTTAATAATTAAACAACAGTGCTTATTATATACCATGAGATATTTATTATTTTGTTTTGTCATATATATTTTGGTTTTTCCTCTTACTTCCTTAGAGATGCCCTAAGCCATCTTTATCCATCTCCGGTCCCTGATTGTCTTCCTTGGGACATGACATGTTGGCTCACATGATACTTACATTTCAAAATTGAAAAGGGCAAAAGAGCTTGGAATTTGGGATAAATTAGTAATCACATAATGAATGCTTTGAAATTTAACTTCGTATCATTTATTTGCAGATTACTACGATGCAGCTGGAACGGGAAAAGGCTCTTGAACATAAGAACCGAATGTCACGAATGCTTGAAGACAGAGATTTATTTGTAATGCGACTCAAGGCAGCACGACAATCTGTTTATGAGGTAAACTTACTGGTTTGAGGGAAACGTTTGTTTATTCATGAGCTTCTTAGTTTTGCCTTAAGAATTCTTTAACATGGTGGTACATTCTGTCTTGAGCTAATAACATTCATAATGGTCATTCAAATAATATTTTCATAGGGATATCTTGAAAATATTCCATAGGCTAAGTAATCATCACTATGAACAAATTTTTCCGAAGGTGAAAGTGGACTGCATAAAATTTGCTTTTGATACAAACGTTTGTTTACTCTGATTCAGAAGGGAAAAAATTAGATCAAAGTGTCCTGCTTTTAGGTTCTAATTTAATCATTGGATTTATTCTGTATAAAAATCCACTGGGTATAGATAGTGTCCCCTCAAATTTTCAAAAATTTGACATGAGAGAAAAACTTCGGTCATTTGGAAATTCTGGTTTTTATACTGGAAGGTTGCTTTCCATCGTTCCACAGAACTTGCAATGCTTTTATAAACATAAAATCTACTGCCAGTTTGCAGCTCTTAAAAATTTGATTCTCTTTCTTTTTTGGTAACCATTCAATTATAGGAAAAACTTAAACAGTTTGAAGAGCGGTTAGCAGAAGAAAGACATAATCGCTTGGAAGAACGTAAAAGGCAACGTAAAGAAGAACGCAGAATAACCTACTACAGGGAGAAAGAGGAGGAGGAGCAGAGGAGGGCAGAAGAACAGATGCTAAAAGGTAGCTGTGTGGACCGAGGTAGAAGGGAAAGGCAAGGATGGTGTCAGGTCCAGTTTATACAGTCTTACTTAGAAGCTAGAGGAACATGGGACCAAGATCATTGGCTTAACTGCAGCTAGCTAGTTTTCAGGTTCTGAGAACCTGACTCTTAGTTTTCTGCAGTTTGATATCTGAGGATGTTACGTTGTCTGCCAGCTTATTTCCATGTTTTGTTGTTCTTTGAAAAATTAATACTGCTTTTTAATTTTTATCCCTGTATTCTGTATAATATTAACATTTATTGAGGAAGACATACCAGATGAAGTCTCCAATGATCCTTTATCTGGCATCCCAGATGCTCAGGAACCAGGGAGGGATTCTACTATCACTTTAGTTGTGTTGAGTGACGTAAACTTGTTTTCTTGAATGTCTCCTGATATTCAAGTTTAGCTGATAGTAAATTATTTTAAAATTCTTAAAGGGAATTCCTTCTACATTATGCTGTCTGTTTGATACCAGAAAAGTAGGTCTAGCACTAGGGGAAGGGTGTGGTACGAGGCACACTTCGTAACCTATTACGTTATATAGAGCGAGAAGAGAGAGAGCGTGCTGAACGGGCAAAGCGTGAGGAAGAACTTCGAGAATATCAGGAGCGAGTCAAGAAATTGGAAGAAGTAGAAAGGAAAAAACGCCAGAGGGAGTTGGAAATAGAAGAAAGGGAACGTCGTAGGGAGGAAGAGAGAAGACTTGGTGATGATGCACTTTCTAGGAAGGTAAGCAGAGACATTGCTGTTTTTATGTGATGCATGTTTATCAGCCAGATCTCTTGCATGACCCACCTGTTTATGCGTGTCTGTGTCTGTTCTTCTAGAGTCTAGTATTGTTTCATCTTCCCAAAGACAGAGGTTCCTAAGGGGGTGGGGTGGAATTAAACTTGTCTTATTAGCAAAGCTGGGATTTTACGGACTTCAGTTTGGAATATTTGTCAGGTAGGAACTAATCCTGTGAAACACTGAAGTATTTGACAAAAGATAACAGTGGTATGGAAGGGGGTCTGTTTTGGTTCCTTGAAAGGAGTTGGTATGAATTAGGAAGATGATCTGAGGATACTCCGATTAATCTGGGGGACCAGCAGTATTCAACATCCCATGGGAGCTTATTGGAAATGCAGAGTATCAGGCCCAGTGCCAAACCTTCTGAATCAGAACCTGCATTTTAACAAGATTACCAGGTGATTCAAATGCTGCTCCAAATTTTTATTTTTAATAGGCACTCATGTCCAGAACTGACCCATGTTACCCCCTTTGTCTTTTGTCTCTAATTCCCTAGTTGGTGGTGGCATTATTAACCACTTAATCACATTGTTTTGAATCCACCTTCCCTCCTTTCTGTCCCTGTGTTCCTGCCTTAATTCACATTTTAATTTTGCTTGTATTACTTACTGGTCTTACTGTTTTCCCTGATCGTTATCTTCCCCCAGCTTCAGGCATTCCTCTGTGTTGTGGCCTGCTTGGTTTCTCATAATGCATATTTGATTGTTACACCTGCTCTGCAGTTTCAGACCTTCCTGTGGTTGGTGCTCATTGCTTAGAGCCAAAGGCAGAAAACATGCCTTAGCATTCAAGGCCTTTTAGGTTTGCTGCTTTTTTCATCAGCTTCTTCTGTCACCATTTTCTTCTCAGTCACCTGTACTCTAGCTGTTCTGAGCTACTGTTAACACTTTATCGTGTGTTTGTGACATCTGCCTGCATGCTCTTCGTTTTCTCCTGAGATGTGCCCGTGCTGCCCTTTAAATAAAATAATGCTAATTTTTTAAGGTAAGAGGTAACGATTTCTTGCCTGCTCTGCTTCTTTATTTGTCCCACACCTGTATCAGATGCTTCTCTTTGTTGGAGGACCTGTTGTTAGTTATCTGTATGGTCTTCAGTTTCTGTTTTATAATGTCTGGGTAGATTTTTGGTTTTGTTAACTGTTGCTAATTTCTGTAGGATAAGTATTCTTTTTCTGTTGTCCTGTGTGTATGTATGAATTCAGAGCTATTGTGTTTAATTTGCTGCATCCTGTTAATTTACTTCATCTTCTGAAGACAATGGGGTAAATCACTGCATGGTTTTGGGTTACAGATTTTTTTCTTTTAGTTTTTGCAAATCTGTGTTCATCCTTTTGTTTGTTTTCGACCTTTTGTTTAACTGTTTTGTGGACCCCCTCTTCTCTTTCAGTTTGAAAGTCTTTAGTTTTATCTGTTCACTTTTAACATGGTGTAACATACTACATTTGGTTTTATTCCTAACCTTTGGTTTGGAGCTTTTTATTTGCTTCCATATCCTTGCCACCCCTTCATTTCTTTAAGCCAAGCTTAAGAATTTTTCTCTGTTCATGTTTTTCTGTATTCTCTTAGTGATTGCCATCTATTTTTTTTCAAAGTCTAAACTTTCACAGTCTAAATTTTGAGAACTCTTTCCTCTCTTGAGAACAAAACAAAATTTTGAGCGTGCCTTTAAGTTTTATTGCCTCCAGTCCATTAAAACAATGTTATCTCTCTCTTTAGAATTAATTAAGTTTTACAACCGTATTGGCAAACATAATTTAGTTTAAAATGTTTCCATCGTAGATCATCTTTTCCTCCTTACAGATAATTTTTGTTTTGTTTTGTATATTTTATCAAATATTCTTGGATATGTCTCAAAAGAGGTTTTGTTTCTCACAGTTGAACAATGAATGGTGCATTGGTCCAGTCAGTTCAAAATCGTCCTCCTTCAGAAGTTTAGAGACTTCCTCACTGTCACATATGGGCAGGAGGATAATAGTCTTGGTCTTGTTACTTCTTTAGATGGTCTGCTTTATTCCATGAAAGCTTTTAGAATTTTCTCTGTCATTAGGGTAAAGGGTTTAAAAATTTCACCAAATCATGTTTAGGTGCCTAAGCTTACGGTCTTTATTACTCATCCTTTTTGACATGTGTGCCCTGTCAGGTTTCTATTTCCTTAGCTTAGAGCAGATAGAATTCCTTAACTCAGGAATTTTTTTTCCCCTCCTTTTCTTTATTTGGGCCTTTCAAAAATGTCCTATTCTTTATCTCTTAATGTTTCACTTACTGTCTTCATCTCTTTGTCCTTTTGTGACTGGTTCTCTGAGATTCCTGTTCTGTTTATACATCAGCAGGGCCTTTTCTGCTGTTAGATCTATCAACTGTCTTAAAAATTTTGGTGATAATGTTAGTTTTTTAGAATTCTTTTTTGTTTAATGTCTGTCATAGCCATCCCTAAAATCTTTTTCAAAGTTCAAATATTTGTCCGTGAAACCTGATTAACTTGAATTCTTTGTGGAGTTTAATTTATAGAGTGAGTGTGGAGGATGGGAGAACTGTCGTCTTCTAGGTGTGGATGTCCCCTCCATTGTAGTAACCATAAGTTACCATTGACAGTTGAGTTCATATCTTCTCCCACAAGGTCCACTTGAGAAAGTCTCTTAGAACAACTCCCATCTTAAGAGACAGCTCAGAGTCAGCAGCTGCTGATGGCTGATGACTCACGATCTGGCCATTCTTGTTTTTCTCTCCTGCTTCTCACCAGCTGCTTCTGGAGAATTTTGTTTTCAAGACGCTTTAAAATTTAAATAAAGATCCTTTTATTCACCTACTTGGGGTCATACTTATTCTAAACTTCATTAGATTTTTATTTTATTTCTCCCACTCTACCCCTAGATATTATTTGTGTCTTCATGAGTATTCTTACTTGTCCCATTGTGGCCACAGGTTACATTTGTAGGATCAGTCGCACTGTGTC